TCTCGCAGGCCCGCCTCCGGTAGCAGCAGCTCTGAGGCCTCCCTGACGGGATTTGGTGCTGGGGCGCCTCTGTAGCCCTCCGTGCTCCCGCCTCCGACGACGCCGGGCACAACCACCGTAGCCACCGCGGCTGGCGCTGGGATGCCACCTCCAACGCCGACGATGGTGCACCCCGCCTCCGCAGCAACCTCCGGCGCTGGAGCGCCCCCGTCCCCGCGGCCCTCCACGCGCCCAACGACGACGACGTCAGGAACCGCCACCGCAACCGGCGCTGCCACCTCTGGCGCGGGAGCGCCCCTGGGGACGTCCTCCCCGTCCACGCCGTCGATGGCGCCGGGCCCCTACGCCACGGCCACCACCTCCAGCAGCAGCTCCATCGAGCCCGCCCTAGCGGGATCCGGCTTTGGAGCGCCTCCGCAGGCGGCGTGGATCTGGGCGGAGCTCCAGCGTGACGCCCAGGCGTGGAGGCAGGTGTGGCGGCGGCCCCCTCTCTGCGACGCCCATCGCGCCTCTTGCGGCGGCGTCGCTCCTCCAGTCGCGGCGAGCACGGCTCCTCCACTCCCGGCGCCCCTCCTCCACTGTCGGCGGTCGCGGCTCCTCCACTCCTCCAGGCGCGGTCACGGCTCCTCCATCGCCGGCGGTCGCGGCGAGCGCGGCTCCTCCACTGCCGTCTTCCCCGCTCCAAAGCTCCGACCCAGGCCGCCGTCTCCGCCCACCGTCTCGTCCGTGGGCCCGCGCAAGATTTTGCGTCGTCTCTCGTTGACGACGCTTTTTTGCCGTTTGGATGGCGTCGGACCCAAAATAGGTCCTTTAAATGGGTCTTCTGTTGGAGGATGATTCTGGCTAGGCAAATACTGATTTTGTGTTTTGGTTCCTTCACTGGAGACAGTCTTATTTGACCTTTTGTAACGACATGTAAGGCTGTAGTTTCAGATATACCAGGGGCCAGTTTGGATGCCAAAATTTTTGGCAAACGCTACTGTAGCGTTTCGTTGTTATTTGGCAATTAGTGTCCAATCATAGTCTAATTAGGCTTAAAAGATTCGTCTCGTGGATTTCGTCTAAACTGTATAATTAGTTTTATTTTTTATTTATATATAATGCTTCATGCATGTGTCAAAGATTCGATGTGACGGAGAATCTTGAAAAATTTGGTATTTTTTGGTGCAACTAAACAGGGCCCAGGGATGGATAGTCTCAGACTGCTACAACTGACACGCAGCGCACCAAATCAAGACCCGTCGCTCCACCATTGACAAACGCGGTTCACGGGTCAAACCGCCCCGCGGGTAGCCAGGGTCGACCCTCTCTGCTGGCCAGGGCGTCAGGCTGTTGCCTGTGTGCCTCTGCCTGACCACGCCAGCCTGCTAGCAAATACATGCGTCCGTCGTACATCAGGCAAGTCCGTCAATGTTAGGCTCGCCATTCGCCAAGTGCAGCGTTCCGCCTGTGCAGAGCGGCGCAGACATCGCTTCAGACACCGACTCCCTCCGGTGATCGGGGTTGTACATGCGATGCGGCTCCAGGGGGCACCTGCCGGCGGTGACTCCAGACGCCAGGCGCTCAATTGACGGACGAACCCTGCCAGAGCTCACCACGCGACCATCGTTTCGCGAGCGCTCGCTCCCGTCCTCGGCCACCAAGAACGTCGTCGTCATGCCCGAAAAGAATAGAGACGTCCTCTCGAACGGCGAGGCACGACTCCTTTGGCGGCGACCTCGACTTCGGCCCGACCATGCGCTTCTCCATAGACTTCGGCGAGAACCTCAATCTGTCCACCACCTACGCCTGCATCAGCGTGAAGCACCTCCATTATTGCCTCCCACCTGTTCGACCATAGGTCCAGCTACGCCAGCGCCTCCCGCAACCACCTGTCCTCTTCCGCCGGACGTTCCATGTCGTCGTCGCCTGCTGTTCCCTTCCCGCCGCCGTTGCAGGACGTTGCCGCGTGGTCCGGGTCACCAGGCAGCCATCGCCACGCCTTGCCGATTAGCCCGTCAGGGCGTTGATTGGATGTGTTGGACGGAGGATGCAGCTGGCAGGCAAGCAGCAAGAGGACTGGGTCGAACCAGGGGTCAATGGGTCGTGCCCCTTGCTGCACCTCTTCTATTCAGAGTCGACCCGCTCCGATCCGTTACCAGATTCGAGTGGCGGAGCGTATTCACGAAGGGTTCGACCCGCACCCTTTGCAGTTTGATGCACATGAGTCACCAATAGGGTTAACACAGGCTGCCCCAGCAATACACTAATACTCCAATACCAAATAATGCACTGTAAACACAGATTTCATGGTGGATATGGTCATAGATATTGGTGCATTTTCTACAAATTTAGTTAAAGTTAAAAAGAAAAATGACCTAAAACAAAACTAAAACAAACTACAATCTGGAACAAGAGTACTAGATACCTCTTACTCCGTCCGTTTGAAATTATAAGGTGTTTTGAGTTTTCTAAATACATTGTTTTTACTATGTAAACATAGTACATATCTAAATGTATAGAAAAAAACTACGAATTTAGAAAAACCATGCAAAACCCTTCAAATGAATTGGCTTAAAAACTAAGGCATCAAAGCCATGCAATACCATACACGTATGCTAAAGATATGCCAGCGCCTCTTTGTTACAGTTTGGAGTTCGTCGAAGCAAATGGAAGCACCGCACATATGCCGGCACAGCTGCAGTCTAAACCCAACTGCAGTCCGCAGCAGCTCGTCCTTCTTAAACTCTGACCTGCTCTCTCAGGCACGCCATCCTGACAAGGCTTGTCCAGAGAACCCAATCCTTGCTTGCCTCGGATCAGATACACTGGAGTTGTAGGAGGAGAGCAAGCGTTGGGAAGTTTTGAGAGTAAAAACTGCCGTGCCTCCTCTGATGCACCTGCAGTCGCTGGAGCACGTGCCCAACTGGTCCTGCTCACCATGTTGTATCCTGAAACAACACAGGCTTATGTGTGCATGTGTGCATGCGCTCACATGAATTTCTTCCATCAAAATCCTGTAAATTGGATTAGGCCAAGCAGGGTAAACATCACCTGGAGATCAAACACTTTGTGAAGCAGCCATGAAAGTACACAATTCTCTATCTTCCATGTTGGTGAGTCTTGAAAACATCAAAAATACTTCAAGTAAAATGGTACCTTTATCGGCTTACTGTTTTCACTTTGCTCAATTCAGTATAGAAAGAACAGTATATGAATTGTGCCGTACTGTCCCAGCAGGCCCCCCAGTTCATTGTAAAATATATAGGCATTTGATGAGTTCAACATGAAAAGAATACAACACAGAAGACACACATCTTCGGGCACCATATGGGGCAACTAAACCATGGATCTATAATTCTAACAAAGGTAAACAGGGTTCACGAAGCAAAGCAACAGCATATTTCAGTGCTTGCTCAGTACCAATATGACTGCCATTATCTGATCACCGCAAATTGTTATATATATATAGGCCAAACAAGGCATGCAGGAATATATTGTGTACCTTTACTAAAATACTAAAACTCGACCCAAGGGGAGAGACATGCCGAACACATTGCTTGAAAGTAGAGAAAAGGCACCCAAAAACAGGTTCTTACCTGCACAGGGACACCTTTACTGAAAGACTGACCAAAGTGAGTCGAACTAATGGCTGTATTTAGTGTGAAAAATTGCTAACAGGGCTATATAATACAGAACTAGCTCATAAAGAAAACGAAATAGCATCTAAGTGCCTTCTTGATGAACCACCATAACAAGACCTCACAAACATTGGGATTTTCTACAGAAGTTTTGCAGGCAAAGAAGAATGGATGAATGGTGGAGCATTTGCTTCACATTAGTTTCAAATTCCACTATTCCAGTGCAACTAGTTTACAACTTACGAAACTAGAACATCACATTGAATATTGCAATAACCCAGAAAAGAGAGAGAAATACAGCATAAAGTTATAGATGCCAAATTACCACAGTCCACTGTAAGTGTGTAAGACTTATTTGATCTAGTGAAACCTAGTTATCCCTCAGTTGAAGCTAATTACTGACAAGTATAAAGGTGCATAATGAAAACCAAAGATTAAATGAGATCAGGGGCGGAGCTAGAGCAAATTCGAGGGGGTGGACTTGTCGTGTGGGTGCATAACTTTTTACTATGAGGGTGCATTTATGGTGAAAATTTGATCACAATCGCTAATTTTTTTTTTAATTTTGCTGTGGGTGCACCCGCACCACAGCTTTATATGTAGTAGCTCCACCCCTGAGTGAGATAAATAATTAAATCTTAGTTCTGAAGAGTATATTGCACATTACTATGGCACTAACCCTACTTCTTGAACAGGAAGGATATAGCGCACAGTACTGTAGTACTAAGCGTTGTTAGAACCATCACCGGTCTAGCATGGTTGCTGCACTCTTTGTATTCAACCATGCATAATGCACTCAGCTTGCAACATAGTGATAGGCTTAGAGATTCAGAATAACACAAATCCTAGAATTAGTGATGGAGTGCATTTAATTATATTAAGAGAGAGTAGCACAGTTACAATCCAATAAGTTCTTGAAGTTATCATGGCAAGGACAAATTATGTTGCCAAAATGAAAAATTGACTATTTCGTAGTATTTCACAATCTTCGTGTCATAATCACCATCTTAGGCCCTGTTCGCTTAAGCTGAAATTTGGCTTATGCTTATGCTTATGTTGAAATGTTGTGAGAGAAAAACACTGTTCCATGACTGAAAAGTAGCTCAAGCGAACAGGGCATTAGTTATTCCCCCAAGAAAAAGTATACAGTACAGCCAGTTCAGTTTGCCATTCAGCAAAAGACAGTGTGGTTCTAAGATATCCCTATTTTACAATCTAAAGGTTGAGCAATTCAAGGGTGGTGACTTCTGGCGAGCGACCAAAATGTTGAAGCAATCAAAGAACCTTCCTAGTTCACAACAATTTCTAGTTACCCGTGTATCGTAGCTGACCAAAAAGAACAGGGGGTGGGGACAAACCTGTTCAAGAACCCCCACCCACTCAAATCCTTTGTTGGGACTCAATCACCAGAGCATTGAGCATGATATGCATGACAGCGTCATACACATCACCATCATAATGCATACCATCAGCCGTGCATTGCTGCCCGCACCCCTGGGTGAGCTTCCCCACATCAAGCAGCAGGAACGGGCCACCATCACCTCGCAAAACACCCCTCCGATCGACCTCGCGATCATAGGCATGCAGCATGGTGCCGTTCATGTGTGCCCTCTTGACGTCTGTGTTGAGCATGTGGTTCACGAGGTGCGGCAAGCCGAGCCAGAACATATGTGGCGGCGGCACGGGAAGCTGCGAGCGGAGCGACTTGGCGGCGCCTGCGATGGACGCCAGTGCGTCTCCGTAGCTCGCGGCGTCCGTGACGTGGAGCATGTGCCACAGCCCGGATCCGAGGACGAGCACGTCGGGGAGGCGCGGCGCGAGGCGCAGATCCTCGCGGAGCAGACGCGTGAGGTTGCTCTCGAAGGGCGCCCAGACGAAGTCCACGGAAATGCCCCGCGCGGGGACGGCAGCGCGGTAGTCGCTGTGGCGGCGGAAGAGCTCCGGCTCGGCGGCCGCCGCCGCGACCGGGTCGAGCAGGAGGCGGAGAAGCGCGAGCACGAGCAGCCGCGCCTGCGAGTCCCCGGCCACCATCACCCACGAGCCGTTGAGCAGCAGCGACGCGTCGTCACGCGACAGCCGCGCGAACCAGCAGGCGGACGCCAGCGAGGGCGGCCACGACCACGCCCGCGCTTTTCCGCCTCTCGAGCCGTCGTCAGCGGCGCCGGCGGCGTCAGACCACGACATGCGGTGCAGGAACGGGACGCAGGAAGACCCGGAGGAGGCGGAGGCGGACGCGGCGCCGGAGTGGGGGAGGAGGAAGGAGGAGGCGAGGTGGGGCAGGGAGGGAGGGTACGGGGATAGGTGGACCCCGACGGCAAGCGAGATGAAGAGCGCGCCGGAGAAGAAGAGCACCTTGTTGCGACTGAGGTGCCAGCCGGCCAGCCCCATGGGGACGAAGAGCACGACGCACGCCGCGACCACGCCCGCCTGCGCCGCGGCCGAAACCATCGGCCGGCCGGCCGACCGAGCGGCCGCCTGCACTTGACCCGTGAGCGCGCGCGCTCGAGCGGCGAAGGCGCCACCAGATCTGGGGCAAGGGGCGGGATCGCGGGCAGCACGAGGTTAGGCAGGCAGGCGGCCGGGGGTGCGGCGTGGAGCGGAAGCGATGGAGATTAGAGGGGCGCCGCGGCCGTGTCGCCTGGTGGGTTGGTGGGTGGGGGTGGTGGGGCTGGGGTTGGGGTTAGGGATGGAGATTGGGGAGCGTGGCGGTGGCGCAGCGGGTCGGCGGGATGGGAACAGCGCAACGGCAGAGCGGGTGGGGAAGGGACGGGGATGGCGCGACGGCGCTTTGGCGCTTGGGGCCGTGGACGTCGGTGCGAATGCGATGCCCGATGCGTGCGCACGCCGGCGGGGATGCGGGGCGGGGTCGGGTCGGTTGATCCTGCTCTGTGTTGGTGCCTGGAAGTTGAGTTCTCTTCCAGATTTGAACTCGAGATTGTCACTTCCATTTATGTCGTGTGTTCAACCTGATGAGAAAAAAAACAGATCGATGGCGAGTCAGCTTCGCCAGTCGCCACATGCCCAATTGGATCGATGCTGCTATTGTCGAGCGTCACAGGTTACAGGCCTCTGTAAAGTTTTGACTCACGCATTGCACTTGTAATCTAAGAATTTCGGCCGGCTAAACTATGAACTAAACAATTCACTGAATAGCTGCAGAGGCATGGGAAGACGTTCTGAACATTGCCATGAGGTCCAGTGAAATGTTTGGTACTACTGAAAGCTCAGAGAATCATGAGATGCAGAGTTCTGCACATCAACAATCGACAGAGGATGACACTGAGGCCTTGTTTAGATCACCTCCAAATTCCAAGTTTTTTCACTCTCTCTTCATCACATCAATTTTTAGCCGTTTGTATGGAGCATTAAATGTAGATAAAAAAAAATAACTAATTGCACATTTTAGTTGGAAATCACGAGATGAATCTTTTGAGCTTAGTTGGTCCACGATTGGACAATATTTACCAAATAAGACGAAAATGCTACTATTCATCGGGTTGAAATTTTTTGCAATCTAAACATGGCCTGAGTAATACTTCTATGACTCGCTTTTGATTAATTGTTCATTCTTTATTGTGTTTACGGCAGAAAGTTTGTGAATTAATCTAAATAAATAAGGTAGTGCAAAAAATTTAATTCAATTTTTAAGATTGGAAATTTATTGTGTTCACTGCAATAAAAAAAACCTTTGATTAGCTAAAAGGTTTGCATTGTTCATTCTTTAGTGGTGCAAAAAGTTTGGACATTTACTAATGTTCTGTAGTTCAAAAGTACCAAGTTTGAACTTTAGGCCCCGTTTAGTTGCAAAAATTTTTGGCTTTTGGCTACTGTAGCACTTTCGTTTTTATTTGACAAAAATTGTCCAATTATGGACTAATTAGGCTTAAAAGATTCGTCTCACGATTTCTCGGCTAACTGTACAATTAGTTTTTTTTTTCGTCTACATTTAGTACTCCATGCATGTGCCGCAAGATTTGATGTGACGGTTACTATGCAAAAAATTTTGGTTTTTGGCTTCAACTAAACGGGGCCTTAGATAAACACATTTGTTGCTGAAAGTAGAAAAAGAAATTAATCAGTAACCGCTTAGTTAAAATAGTCATCAGCCGCTGTTGTTGGAATTTGAAACTGAATGTCTGACAGGGCAGCGTTTTTTCAAACTTTGAAGCTGTTATGACCGGCATCCAGTACTCCAGGCGAAGGCCCAGTAGTGGCTAGAGGAGGCCGGCGGGTTAGGGGGCTCAAGGCCTATATTTATCATATTTTACATAATATTAGAGTTATTTTCTATTATTATTATTCAGAGACATATAAATACCTGTAAACTCTATTGAGGAAAGTAAGCAGAAACAATTATTGTTTCGGCTTTCTCGAGGAGCCGGAGAAACCCTAACCGCCTTCTCTCTCTTCAGAACAGTCACGCGACACGGTAGCGCCCGGTCTTGTGAGCGCCGCCACCCTCACCCCTCGCGAGATCACGGCGCCCATTGTGGTCCATCGCGTTTAAGCCTTGGCCCCGATCACCCACCGCTACAACCTCGCTCGGTCGTCGGAGGAACCTCGGTTCCTATCACCTTACCCAGAGACCTTGTCGATCATGGACACCCATTGCCTCTCTCCTCCGCGCCGCCATCGCCGGCGATCCCGCGGCAAGCCGCCGCCTCCCCGCCCCACCGCTACGGTGGGCGTTACGTGGTGCCGCCCCAATCTCTTGACGACCACCGTCGGCGCATGCAAGGGGTGTTAACGCCGAGGAGGTGACGACCTCCATCGTCAATCTCGGCCATGGCGTGAAGGAGCTGCAGGACATGATGAAGGCGTTTACGAGCGGCGGCGACGTGGTTCCACCACCGCAGCCGTCACATCCTCCTCCTCCGCCACGCTGCTGCCCTCATCCGTCTCGATGTCGCCGAATCACCTACCCCTACGGGATGCCCTACGGACTCCATGCCGTCGCCGCCGACTTACTCACCGTCGGTGTCCCGGTCCCGATCCATATGCCGCAATTTCAGACTCGCCGTCGCCGATTCCGGCTTGGGCCCTTGGATCCTTGGCGGCGCACCACTCCATGACCGCGCCGCTATACTCCTCGGCACCGCCTCGGTCCACCATCCCTCAGGCTCCATCGACGGTGCCCCATGGGGACCCTTATGCAGCAGGGATCTGTCTGACGGCGGCGTGACGGGCATTGCTTCCACAACACCGCCCTCCAGGCAGGCCCCACGTGGCGTGCCACTGGGCCCGACCAGAGGGTCCTGGCGAGCGCGGCAAGAAAGCCATGGGGCGGTCTCGACCGCTGCCGCCAAGACGACGCATCGCCTCGAGTTCGCAACGCGTCGACGGCTCGAAGACCCCTGAATTGGCTCAACCATCGCGAGCAATTCTTCCGGGCCCAACGATGGCGGCCTCCGACGTAACGTGGATTGCGCCATACCACCTCCGGGCCCGCACAAACTTCGTACTACGCCTCGGCGGATGAGGGCATGCCTTCTTAGGAGCGCTTGTCGAAATTTGTGCCGCTTAACGCTTGACCGCCAGTTCGCGGTACTCGGCTGGCGGAGTTGGGGCGCTTGCCATTCCAATCTACGGTCCAGGAGTTCGCCGACCGCTTTCAAGCGGTGTCCTGCCATGCACGTGGCGTCTCGGCCAAACAGAAGGCCGATCTCTTCGTCGGGGGCCTTCCCGAGTACATTCGGGTGGATGTGGAGATGCGCGATCCCCAGGACATCCAGATGGCCATGTACTTGGCACGGGCTTTCAAGCGTCGGGCGGCGGCCATGCCCACGGCGCCACCCCCGCGGGGTGCCCGGCCTCCACCTCGTCCCGGCCTGCCCCCGCGTGCCCCGCCACCAGCAGCGGGGGCTCCAGCTCATCCGAGTGCTGGCCCCGCGGGCGGGCAGGGCGCCCCTCCCGTGCGTCAGTTCCGTCGCCTCACGTCGGTGGAACAGTTGGAGCGCCGCCGTCAAGGGTTGTGCTTCAACTGAGACGAGCCCTATGTCTGGGGCCATGTGTGCCCCCGGCTGTTTTACCTCGAGTCTACGGACTTCGTCGACGAGGCGGCCGGGGAGGTGCCTGCTGCAGAAGCCGACACAGCCGCCTTTCCAGACGAGCCGGCCGACCAAGGTGTGGCCGGTGATGCAGCAGACGCTGCTAATGCCCTTGTCGTTTCTCTCCATGCTGTTGCAGGAATCCGGCCTCCCAACGCCATGCTGCTCTCCGTCACCATCAAAGATGAGAGTTTCCTCGCCTTCCTCGACACCGGCTCCACTCATAATTTTGTCCAAGGGGCTGTGTTGCGCCGTTTGGGCCTGTCTCCAGCTGGGGGTGACCACCTCCGTGTCACGGTCGCCAATGGTGAGCACGTGGCGTGTGAGGGCATCGCTCGGAACATGCCCATCTGCATCGGCGACGAGGACTTCACCATCACGTGTGTTGGCCTCAACCTGGGCGCCTTCGACTTCATCATCGGCTTCGACTTCATTCGCACATTGGGCCCCGTGTTGTGGGACTGCAATGCCCTTACCATGGCGTTCTAGAGGGAGGGCCACCGCGTCACCTGGCAGGGCGTGCCCGGCCCTCAGACGCCCTCCCCACAGTAGCCGGTGACCGCGGTCACGACTGACCCGCGGCTACCTCTCCTAGATCGCCTGTTGGCGCAGCACGGTGACATCTTCGACGAGCCTACTGGGCTCCCTCCGGCGCGCCCCTACGACCACCGCATCCACCTGCTGCCCGGGATGGCCCCAGTGGCGGTGCGGCCATACCGATACCCGTAGCTACAGAAGGACGAGCTCGAGCGCCAATGTGCAGCGATGCTTGCCCAAGGGATCATTCGGCCGAGCACTTCGCCGTTCTCCGCGCCCGTCCTACTGGTGCGCAAGGCGGACAAGTCATGGCGCTTCTGTATCGACTACCGCTCCCTCAACGCCAAGACCTCCAAGGACAAATTCCCAATTCCGGTGGTTGATGAGTTGCTGGATGAGCTCCATGGGGCTCGTTTCTTCACCAAGATTGACCTTCGTTCCGGCTATCATCAGGTGCGCATGCACCCGGAGGACATCGACAAGACGGCTTTCCGCACCCATCAGGGCCACTTCGAGTTTCTGGTGATGCCATTTGGGCTCTCCAATACCCCGGCAACCTTCCAGGTGCTGATGAATGACGTCCTTTGGCCTTACCTGCGGCGGTTTGTGCTGGTATTTTTTGATGATATATTAATTTATAGTCCATCATGGGCGAGCACTTGCAAAGATGTCAACATCGCCCTCCACGCGCTTCGGTACACCACCTTCACTTGAAACGATCCAAGTGCTCGTTTGGCGCATCGTCGTTAGGCCTACCCGGGCCATGTGATCTCCGAGGGCGTTGTCGCCATGGACGCTGACAAGGTCACCGCCATGGCTGCGTGGCCCCTGCCGCGCTCTGCCCGTGGCCTGCGTGGTTTCCTC